TATATATATATATATATATATATATATATATATATATATATATATATATATATATATATATATATATATATATATATATATATATCAAACACATGCATACTCAAACAGTCCAACTGAGGAGAACATTTTAAGAAATAACCTAATATTTTTACTGAGTAATTAAAATATATTCAGGGAACGTATGGATCGATTTGATACCCGGCAGGCTAATTTGGCAAAGGACAGCAAATTATCTGATGGTGAAATTGAACAACTGTATCTGGATAAGTTGGATGCTGGTTTGTATACACTGCAACGAATCATTTTAATTCTTGCGGATGTATGCTCAAACGCTATGCCAGGTTGTCGTAATCGAGCGGTAAAATTGTTCCAAATGCGCACTGGAAATGGAAAGCTTAGCAAACATCTTGTTCCGGTTTGTTTACTGATATTTCCATTGCATTGTTATTTGAGTCGCATTCATATTCTTCCCTGATTATTTTCGGAAAGTGTTTTAAGATAATATGCATCTTATTGTTTTGTTTTTCCTTCTATTTTTTTTTTTTTTTTTTTTTTGCAAGCCTTTTACCAACCTTCTATTTGGTTCTTAACTTGACATTTTCATCCATATTTTTGAAATTGCTTAGTTTTTTGTCTCGGATCGTAAACTTTCAGGATGACAATCACACGAAAATACTGTTTATTACTCATATTCATCGTTTTTCTAACTTAGAAAGGCTTGATTTCGTATACTTTATATTTCAGTCGATGGGCCGATTCATTACTCTTGTTTAGTTTTGTGTTTTCAGATCCTTGAAGAATACGAAATCAATTTAGGCGCTGAAGCAGATGAAGAAAGAAAACGCACACGTCAGCTTATGGCACGGCTAAATGACATTGATAAAAACTAGATCTTTTATCTTACATTTATGTTTGTTGTACATACGATTCATTCTTTTTTTTATATTGATGTTCATAATTGATGCCCTCTGCTCTTTTAGATTTACCTTGCGCTTTTTGTCCACGGATGAAATTTTACGTCTTGATTGATTTGAACCACTACAAATTTTAAATTTTCTCTGCTTAATAAGATTGTGGAATTTTGAAGCAAATAAAATTAAATAAACTGAGGACACATTATTTTGGCGCAAACATCTCCCTTCGGTGGTCATTAAAAATAGCAACCATGAAGATAAAAAATGAAATAAATGAATAAATGAAGTAAAGCTAAAAAGAAATAAATAAGAGTAAGAAAGCATAGAACATCTTGTAGTCTGAAACTTGGTAGGTGTTTTTGTGACCTTGCGTTGAATTATCGTAAACTGACACAGTTACTTTTCCTGTACTCGCTCACCCTTCGATATCAAATTGTGGGTTGACTATCATATACCTACTTTTCTAGTTATTGTTTGTTTCCAGCGTAGACTGGAAAAGTTCAGCTTATAATTCCAACAAATTCTTGAACTCATTAGTTACATAATGATTTACAGTTATGCAATATGATATACCAGTTTCATGTTTGGAGGGCATACGTTACTTTGGTCCACTGGTGCACTGGTGCCACAGCGTTTCAAATTCAACAGGTGTTATCTCTGCACCTTTTTTCCTTGTCAATTGCGTTGCGTCAAGAGACAGCTCACACATTTGCATATCATCTCGACCTAAACGAAGCAAACCTATGTTACGTATTGATAATCGTCGATAGATAGTGAGGTAGAGTAACCTGACAGCTGTATCTGAAAGTTTAGATGGAATACTGAATTGAATGAAAAGCTATGCTAAACTTACGAATGTTTCTATATCCAAATAATTTTTGTTATTTCCCATATCATTCATTAGATGTTTTACTTCTGTATTTGTATGTTAATATATAAAGAAGGAGTGAAGAAATAAGGAGAAAGTAGTTATAATTTTTACCGGCGAGAAGCAATACAGGTTTCTTGTTAGGATGTAATTCCATCTGACGAGCAATCCACTGTCCATCGAAGTGGGCATACCACATACCATGTGAAGCTGCTGCTACTTCCGATATATCTGCAAGGACAACTACATTCTTCAAATTCTCTTACGTTTTGACGAGCTAATATGGACTCTCCTGCCTCCTGTTAATTGTTACATAAGCAAATTACTGTGTAAAATTCTTAAGCAAGGTCATGGCTATTGAACCAATCTCTAATCTCAAGAAACTGCTTGTTCACTGTAGCACACATAACTTAGACTTAAAGGAGAGAATTTCGAAGCAAGGTATATATGGCTCTGAACATACCGCGTGTATTCACATGTCCACGAGCAGGCTTTGCAAATGGTACCTTGAAATATCGTTGGATAGCGACATTATTCTGCGAGAAATGCGAAGAGAAACCCTTACTGCCTAAACCAGGAAATATTTTAGTTTATTTAGTTTGTATAACAGTATTCAAGGCTTATCAGACATGCAACAAAACTTTATTGTTGAATTATTTGGCTTTTATAAGTCAATTTCTGTTCAAAAGAATATATGCTAATATAGAACTTCTAAGGAATTAAAGCGGATATGAGTAGTATCTATACTTTTGTTTAACCTCAAGCTCTTTTTATTCGAACTAGTCAACATAGCTGCTTTTTTAAAAAGAAAATAAAATTCAAGAAAAGATGACATTTTGACAGCGCAAAGGAAAAGCGGTATTTTACTTGAAGCAAGTACTGCTATCGGTACATGATTTATTTGTCGTTCAGTAGTACTGCTCTCATTTAGCTCTTTCCACTGCTGATAAATTTGTAAGCGTCTATGGAATTCTTCTTTGCAAGCGCGCAATAAATCCGTATCTGAAAACTCATCAGTTTTGTAATATCAGCTGAAATTAATCTTTTTACATGGTTTCTCCCGTTGTTAGTGCATTTTGTCAACGTGCTAAAGTTTTTGATGGAATGAAGGGAGAAGTGAACTAAAAGTTTTCCCAAATTCCAAACATCCTGAGTAGTTCAGTGGATGAACTGGCAAATAAGCATTGAAATGACGTGAACTGTGTCGAGAATGTCATATTTCATGTGCTCAAATACTGCACTGGCTAACCAACGAGTGGATGGAAGCAAAAATAACTGGACGCTTAACACTACAAACTCCTTTTCTAAGCAGTACTGCTCGGCCTTTCCGGCGCTACCATCATGAAGCTCTTTTTTTTTCTTTAGTATCAAAAGCGTTATGAAATTTAAGCCATGAATAAATGATACCAGTTGAAGTATTGATGATATCGCGAAGCTCCACGTATTTGTACTTCGTCAGATCATATTTAGAAGTACCGATACTTTTCTCTTCTCTGCTTAAAGCTCGGCAAACTTTATTGAAAAATCTTTTCCAATCAAGAAAGAGGCTTTATTTCAGGTTAAATACTGCTCTTATTTTACCTTGGCCCTGACAGTAACCCTCCAGTGTTTGTATTACTTTACTTACTACTTATTTAAACAAGTTTTTCAAGTCGAAAGTTAGTCAAGAACTTATTTCAACCATTTGTTTTGATTTTAACAAAATCCCTTGATCTTACAAACCAATATAACCAATATTACTCAAGATGATAACTCTCGTCATGCCATTAATATTATGAAATCTTGAAATATCTTATACAACATGAAACATAATGCTATTTCAAGTATGCTGCATATAATTAATAGTTTCTTTACTTATTCGAGAAAAATTTTAAAGATACACAATCTTACGAGGCATTATTTTCAATTATTTCCAAAGTGGACCCTTCCGTCATTAGCCTCTTTGCAATTTCCGCATCCAGTTCCTCTTGCTTCATTTCTTTATTTCTAAATTAAAATTGCAAATTTGTAAAGAAACAGATAGAGCCTTTTTTTATTGTCTTCTTTTTGATTGGAATTACACTGATCCTTGAACCCAAAAATGAACTGAAAAAATCATTTGATGAGGTGCAAAATTTAATAATTCTTTAATTTGAACATTTACCGCTGGTGCTTGATCTTTTCTTCGCATTCATTTTGTGCTCTCAACATTTCTTGTTGTCGCCAGTTTTTCATCTCTTCCTGTTTCCTTTTTCCTTCAAATCTCGTTCTCCTTTAAAAATTTAGAATTTTAAATGCATATTTACTTCTTCCTTGAAAACCATTTCTAAAATATATTTTGCATTATAAAAAATGTTATTACTCGACGTGCTGTTGTTCCAATTTTCGCCCTTCCAGTTTTCTTTGCTCTTCTTTCTCCATTTCTAAACGTTGTTTCTCCTCCATTTGTTTGGTCTTTCTCTGCTTATCCCATGCAAATTGCTCCCTGTATGTTTGTTCAAATGTTGGGTATGATAAAATATTTTCATCATCATCAATAAAATTCAGACCCCATTAAAGTTAGTATTTTTTTCCCATTAGAATATCGTCAACATAGCATATTCCTAGTTGCCTTGATAAATATAACAAAAAAAGACATCAAATAACCTGAGTGAAGAAAGTGTGAAATCAACATTTGATAACATTTGTTCCTGGTGGTTTATCAAACCGCCCAATAGCTTGCCATCAGATGTCTGAAAGTGTTTCTTAAAAACTATTCTTCAATAAAGCCATTGCAGTTGCTTTCACTATTGCTTTCATCAGAGCATCCTTTTTTACAAAGCTCTATAGAAGAGATACAAACACCATCAGAGATAAACGATTATTCATTGGTTTCAGAAAAGGCAAGCTATCCAAACTTGCGAGAAAATTCTTATTCTACAGGATATTTCAAATTTAGATATCTACACTACCTTAATATTCTTGAGTAGTTGCTGAGTCTCAGTGTTAAACGCACTGATAACTGAGGACCATTCGCATTGGTTGGCGGGTGACAAATGTTCCAACATTTTTTCCAATTCCGTAACTCTCTCCCATAACATATTTGTTCTACGATACAGATATAATCTAAAATTGCTATATTACAATTTTATATTGACACTTCAAGAGAACTGCATAAACTGACTTCATGCAAATATGATCCACCAGGCTTATATTTACTTCAACAATAATATTGTTTTAAAACGCTTTTCCTTAAGAAGATTAATTAACGAATACAACAACCTTGGACGATGGACTTTTCGTGCGATATATCCACGCAGTGCACTCTGAATTTTCGTAAATTGTGCAGCACGCCACAGGATTTTGTTTCTCACTACAACTTTTAAAAGTCAGTTAGGCTAATTTGCAAATTTCAACACTTTTTTAACAAGATGGCTGTAAAAGAAGCATACATTTGATACACGAAAGGACGCCATACTGGGCCTTCTTCCAGTGCATATGTGGCAGCCAGGTCTGCACCTTCTTGATTAAACCTTCCATGTGAACCGGATCTTGCCGAAGCATCTTTAAAAATTTCGATCATTTGAACTGCACCCAAACTTTCTCGGAATTTATTATAAAATTGAACTAAAAAGCAATAGGTATTTAGAGAGGCAAGTTTTACTGTCTAGACTAATGGAAACTGAAAGTTATCTAAAATGTCCATTCCCAAAGAAGTCCCAGTGAATGTAACTGGAATAGTCTTTCGGAAACCCATTGCATTTTTAGCTACCTTTCAAGAATCAGAGAAAGTCGACACAAGTTCCAAGCCTTTGTCAAGACTTTATTTACACTACATTTCAGATAAAAATCCAACAAATAGTCGAAAGACTATAAAAAATTGTACCTGGTCAAATTCAGCAAACTTTCCAGGTCTGAAAAACACTTTCGTATGACCGAACTTAAACTCTGTTTCATTGAGACCGAGTGCATGAAATAGACACTACAAAAACAACCTAATGAATAGATAAAATCAGAAACTTACTAAATGATAGACAACAATTGAGAAGTGCTATACCTTACAGAAAAGACGTGGGTCAAGTCGAGCAAGTTTCGATGGCATCATTTTTTCATATGTTTTGTACAATGCCGCAAAAGATGTTCTGTAATTGATTAGTAAATTTATATACGTATATAGGAATAGTTAGTATAATAGTAATAGTAGTAGTGGTAGTAGTAATAATTATTATAGTAATAATAGTAATATATATGTATAC